AAACTATTTTCGATATTTATTTAGTTCATTCGATATCTCTACGATATAGTTTTAAAAATGAGTTTCGAGAGAATGTAAAACATTTATCAATTCGACTATCGTACAATCGTCGATGAATTTTTTAAGTTAGCTTGTTATCGAAAATTTCGAAATATAGTTTGAAAATACCTACTTTAACGTCCCATAACATTTGCTACGATTGATCGTCTCACGCACCGTTAACGGCGTGCAATACTATGTCGTGAATACTTCAAAACGATATTAAGAATGTAATATTTCAATTTCGTTTAATATCCCGTAATGAACTTGAAAATGAAGATAAAAACATAAATAAATAAAAAATTCATCTCTCTCTCTCTGTGCAGGGAGACCATGGATCTCCGTGCAAGGAGACGGAGACCTCATGTCTCTGAGCACGGAGTCCTCTTATTTTTTTTCTTTTTTTTAAATAAAAGCTAATACCTCTTTATACTATATAAACTAACTACAATGATATATATATATATATATATATATATATATAAAGTTTTTTTTTTTTTAGTTTTCTATATCTATAATAATGTAAAAAATATTTACATATATATATCCATACTAGGGATGGCAATTCGAACTGTCAAAATCGAAAATCGAGGTTAACCGAACCGAATGGAGCGAAAAAAAATCGAACCGATGGTACAATGGAGCGGATATGGTATTTGATTTTAATGAACCGGTTTGGAGCGGGGCGGGTATGGTATTTATGCCATCGCTCCGAATCGAACCAATTAACCGTTAGAAAAATTAATAAATTAATAATAATTGGGCTTTCCATAATTTTTTAATTTTTTTTATGTTAATTACTTAATTTCTTTGACCCAAAATTTCTGGCCCATTAACAAATTAAATTTAAACCCAAGTACCCAACCCTGAACCCTAACAGTCTAACACAAATGCACAAATGTTTTATTGAAAAATTGGAATCTCAACTCCTGCCTTCTGGGTCTGTCAAGTGCCGACTGTCGTCTCTGCCGCCTCCGCCCGATTGCATTATTTTCTTCTCTTTCGACCTTCAGGCTTCTGCCACTGGTGAGCTTCCCATCTTCTTTTTTGATAATTTGTGTGTTGTCTATTTGAATTTGTTGTGAATTTCGCACAAGATTTTGCCAAAGTATATCCAGAATTTTCAAATTTTTACAATTGATGGCCGCTTTAGAGATAAATGACTTTAATTTCTGTTCTCTTTGATGACTTTTGGCCTAAACAACACATAAACAAAAAATTGAATTCTTTAATTACAGAAACCAAAGTTTGGTGACGAGGATGTTGACGAAGAGATACATCTTTTTGTTTAAATCTTCAGTTAAGTACATTATGGATTATTGATTTATTACTTTACTTACATTTCTTATATACTATATAGGAATCAACTTTGAGTTTTGACGTATGCTAGTAAGAGTTATGGGGGAAGAATGAAGATTGAATATGAATTGAGGTTGGAGCTTTTTGAGTTATTAAATAATATTTGTTAAATTTGGATTTTGTATTTGAGAATTGAGATATTTTTTGAATTTTTATTTGAGATATTGTTTGCTACATTGACTTAGTATCATGTTTTTGTTTTTATTAACTTTTTTCATACATTTTTCTTTTTATTCGACGGATGGACCAATTAAAAATAATTTATTTTCGTGGTTATTAACGACCCGAATCGAGATACGAACCGAACCGACTTTCGTGGTTATGGTACGATTATGGTATGGCTAAAAAATCGGTGGTTCGGAAATAGTTTTAGCCGAATCGACTCCGAGCCAAACCGTTGCCATCTCTAATCCATGCACTCTATGTACGGAGGAACGCATCGTTTTTGCTCCCCACTTGGAAAAAAATGAAATTTTAAATAATTGAAAAAAAAATTACGTCATATCGCATAATTTGTTTGAGTAAAATGATGTATTGAGAAAAATGTTGTGAAAAAATAATAAATAGTAATAACAAATTAATTTTTTAAAGAAAAAATGACTTATACGCATTTTTTAACACATACATTTAATGTCCGTTTAACTATTTTCGATATTTATTTAGATCATTTGATGTCCCTATGATATAGTGCTCAAAATGAGTTTCGAGAGAATGTAAAACATTTATGGTTCGACTATTGTACAATCGTCGACGAATTTTTAAAATTAGCTTGTTAACGAAAATTTCAAAATAGTAATAAAATAATTGATTTTTAAAAAAAAACGACTTATGCGTATTTTTTAACATATACGTTTAATCTCCGTTTAACTATTTTTTATTTTTTTTAAATATTTTTGTTGTTTACATTATAATTTTTTTTTCAATTTAAAATTCTTTTCTCTTAATAATTCCAAACAGAAACTTAGTTTTGATTTGCATTATAAATAATTTTTCTTTTCAAGTTAAAATTCTTTTTTAATTTCTTTCTCTTTAATTTTTTTACTCACAAGTAACTTTTTACCTCTTAGAAATATTTTTCTATCTTATATTATTAGTATTTTTATTTTTCAATCATTTCAGATAATATTTAATTTTATAATAATAATATTGCTTTAAATATTTGGTGGTAGATATGAAAAGTTGCGTATTGCAGTAAATTTAGATTGTTCTTTCTTAAATATAATAATAAAATATATAGTAGGCAAGGGAAACGGCGTCCTTTTTGCCCCCCACAAAAACGACGTCGTTTGTCTTGCCTGCTATATATTTTATTATACTGCAGGAAACTACTGTAACACGCAATTTTCATACCACCCCTCACTCCGTGCTCAACCATTCTTATATAGATATATATAGTAAGATATAAGAAAAGAAAAACCACTTTTATATAAAAAAAAATTAAAAAATAGAGATAGTATAAGACATAAAATATTTTAGAAAAAGTTATTTTAAGAAAAAATTTGAAGAAAAAAGAATTTTAAATTGAAAAAACGATTATTTATAACGTCAAACTACAAAGCAAAAAAAAATTCTCGAATCTAAGTCTCTATTTGAAATTATTAAGAGAAAAGAATTTTAAATTAGAAAAAAATTTATAATGTAAACAACACAAATATCAAACAAAAAAAAAATTACTCTATGTACGGAGACAAAAAGTCCGCGTGCATGGGGGAGACACGAAGGCAAAAAGTCTCCGTGAACGGAGAGATACTTTTAATTTATTTATTTTTTATTTAGGAATTGCATTCTTAAATATTTTTTTTTTTACTTTAAAATTTTTTAATTCTTTTCTTTTCATAATAAAACTTAATATTAACTTTAAAATATTTTATTATACTGTAATAAAACATAATTAAACGAAGTCGAAATATAGAAAAAAAAAATTTACTTTAAAATATTTTATTATACTGTAAGAAACTGCTGCAATACGTAATTTTCATATCTCACACCACTCCATGCTCAACCACTCTTATATAATAGGGATATATAGCAGGGATATAAGAAAAAAATTACTTTTATATAAAAAAAAATAAAAAAAATATTTTACAAAAAGTTACTTTTAAGTAAAAAAAATTGAAAAAAAAAATTAAAAAGAATTTTAATTTTTATTGTTCACATTATAATTTTTTTTTTCAATTTATAATTCTTTTCTCTTAATAATTCCAAATAGAAACTTAGATTTGAGAAAAAAAATTTCTGTGTAGTTTTACGTTATAAATAATAGTTTTTTCAATTTAGAATTTTTTTTAATTTTTTTCTTCAAATTTTTTTTTATTAATCAATATTTTTTAATAGTTTGAGATAAAATTTATTTTTCTAGTAATAATTCAATATATAAAATGATGAAAAAAAACATATTCACTCCGTACATGGAGAAATTTTTTTATCATACCACATAATTTTTTTGAGCAAAATGATGCATTGAGAAAATTGTTGCGAAAAAAGAATAAATAGTAATAAAATAATTGATTTTTTTAAGAAAAACGATCTATACGCATTTTTAACACATACGTTTAATCTCCGTTTAATTATTTTCGATATTTATTTAGATCATCTGATATCTCTACAATATAGTTCTCAAAATGAGTTTCGAGAAAATGTAAAACATTTATCGATTCGACTATCGTACAATCGTCGAGGAATTTTTAAAGTTAACTTGTTATTGAAAATTTCGAAATAATAATAAAATAATTAATTTTTTTAAGAAAAACGACTTGTGCGTATTTTTTAACACATACGTTTAATATTCGTTTAACTATTTTTGATATCTATTTAAATCATTCGATATCTCTACAATATAGTTCTCAAAATGAGTTTGAAGAGAATGTAAAATATTTATCAATTCTATTATCGTACAATCGTCGATAAATTTTTAAAGTTAGCTTGTTATCGAAAATTTTGAAATATAGTTTGAAAATGCCTATTTTGACGTCCCATAACATTTGCTACGATTGACCGTTTCACGCACCGTTACGTGCAATATTATGCCGCGAGTACTTCAAAACGATATTAAGAATGTAATATTTCGATTTCATTTGATATCCCGTAATGAGCATGAAAATGAACATAAAAATATAAATAAATAAAAAATTTATTTCTCTCTCCGTGCACGGAGTCCTTCCTAATTTTTTTTTCTTTCCTCCATGCACGGAGAGATTACTTCTTTTTTTTGCTGTATAGTTTTACGTTATAATTTTTTTTCAATTTAAAATTCTTTTTAATTCTTTTCTCTTCAAATTTTTTACTTACAAGTAATATGTTGTAAAAAAATTTCTGTCGCATATATATATATATATAAGTAATTTTTTTCTTATATCCTTACTATATATATCTATATCGGAGTGGGGGAGGAATGAAAATTACGTGTTGCAGTAAATTTGAAGGTAGTGTATAACAAAATAAAATATATATCAAGCAAACGGCGTGATTTTTGGCCCCCAATTGAAAAAACAAAATAAAACAAAACAAAAATATTACAATAAAAATGAATCAAGATATTGTTGCTTTCTGCAGTGTTCTCATATTCCCCTTTTTTATATAGCACGGAAAATACACGTAACTAAAGAGAGAAAATTTACATGAGCCCTTTCGAACCCTCGTTATATCATTCCAGTACAGTACATGCATACACTTCGGTATTGATGAATTGTAAAACTGCACGTCGATCAGTTTATAATTCCTCAAATTGAATGCTTTGAAACCCTCAGAAGAGCAGCCAGACATCAGTAGTCCCTTCCTCTAATCGATTCGCACAGAAATGCTTAAATCCTCAGATGAGAGTGAGAAAAAGGTAAGTTTTTTCACTTAGAGTTTCAAAGTTTTAAGACTAGTCCATTAATCAATTTAACAAAATCAACTTACCCGTTAGTTCAAAAAAATTTCTATGTACCTCATGAATAGTATATAAATTTTCTGGAATTTTGTTTATTTGTAATTGGATTTGTACAGAACATGGCTAGGAAGGTTAAAGATTCAGAAATTGTTGTACCAATTGTGTACGGTAATATCGCATTTTGGCTTGGGAAGAAGGCAAGCGAGTAAGTAACTTTTTCTATTTTTTTCTTTTCCTTATTTGATGGTATTGAAATTGCCCGCGAAATGTTTGATGATTTGCTTCTTTGACATTTAGTTCTTTTTTGTTTTATGGGTAGTTACCAGTCTCATAAATGGACGGTTTATGTTCGAGGAGCAGGAAATGAGGACCTGGGTGTGGTGATAAAGCGTGCTGTTTTCCAATTGCATTCCAGTTTTAATAACCCAACTAGGACTGTTGAAAGCCCTCCTTTCGAGTTATCTGAGTCTGGATGGGGTGAATTTGAAATTATCATCACTCTTCATTTCCACAGTGACGTTACTGATAATCCATTGCACTTGTGAGCTGCTGCTGCTTCTCTCTCTCTCTTTCTCTCTCTCTCTCTGTGTGTCAATCAATGCTGCTTAGAACTGCAATTGCGGCTAGCAACATAGATTTGAACGTTAGAGTTGGAATGATGCGATCATGGTTCTTAGCCCTCAATTTCAAACTTTACTTATGAGTTTGCTGATATTAATCTTTTAGCTTAAATACAATAACTAATGAATAGGCTTCTTCATTTTCATGGGTTGTCCCTATAAAATGTTGAGATTGAAAGGATGAATTGCATACAGGTATCATCATTTGAAGTTATACCCAGGGGATGAGTCTGGCCCTTTGTCCACTAAGAAGCCTGTTGTTGTGGAATCCTACGATGAAATTGTTTTCCTTGAGCCTTCTGAGGGATTTTTATCACGAGTGAAAAATCATCCTGCAGTTATTGAGCCTAGACTACCTGCGGGCATTACTTTGCCTCCTGGTGTGTTTTTTTCCTTTCTTTTCTTGGTTCTTATTTTCTTGGTTGTTAAGGATTTTTAAATTCACCAAACTTCAACATGTTTTCTGTGCTCATCTCTAGTGCCAATGGATGATGTTGACAAAAGGAAGAGAGGTGACACCAATGATCATCCGTTGAGCCAGTGGTTTGGCAATTTTTCTGAGGCAGATGAACTATTAATACTTGCTGGTGCTCGCCAACAGGTCTCTTAATGGATTTAATTGTGCTTCTATATTCTTCTTGTTGAGATATCCCTGTCCATGATTGTCCTGAAAATTTTCTACTTGTTATCTTTACGCAGATTAAATATACAGGAATTTTACCTTCAAAATTGTTTGCATTAGGAAGGGAACTTTCCCCTTCTACAGGGCTGTGGAAATTTATCAATATACATAATGTGAAATTTAGGAAAAGTGAATATAATCAGAAAAGAGTCGAATTTATCCCAAGATGCCTTGATATGAAACCACGCTTGCTAAGGTGGATGGAAATTATGCAATTGATAGAACTTCAATTTAGCAAGTGCATTATCAAGGTATCACATTCTTGAGTAAAACAACTCTCTGGCATGGTGGAACTGTTCCCCTGGCAACAAGGCCAAATAATTTATAATGTGTGTTGGGCGCATTTTCAGTATTGGAAACTGTGTCCACCGTATTATATCATAAAAATGTGACTGACGGATTAACTGAGATAATGCTCTCTCTCTGCTTCCATGAGTTCGTTTTGTATGCACTACAACGGACATTAACTCTATGTTTTCTTGAGGCAGACAAAACAGGATTTGGTAAAAAAGGGTTAAATTTGAACAGTTAAACTAACCTCTTAGAGAGAATTGAATTTTACTCCAGAAGAGCAATAATCTAACTGGAATCACTAACTTTCACTTTGTTACAACTTTGTTTCTTAGCATCATGCATCTATGTATGATCCTGCACAGAACTTATAGGAGAAGTGAAAAAGAAACATTAGGTGTAATCAACCAGATGAGTTTCAAATTTTTGAGAGGAAATTATTGAAAGACCTTAGTAATGACATAAAATGAGAAGTACCCTTCTTTTAAAATTTTCACAGAGTTAACGTCCATTCTTTAATTTATCTTTCCTACTCGAAATTTGAAATTTTTTTCCCGCTGTTTGAAGATGGATAATTTCTAATTTCTTCATTGTCAGCTTTATTCCTGAAACATGTTCTCATGTAGGCAATTTTGGAAGCCAGTAAACGTAGGAAATAAATTTTTAAAGTTTGAGTTTTGAGGTTTTTTTATGTATATGAAGACAGTGGAAGAATAAAATAAAACTTGTACAGAGTTTCTATTATCTTCACCTGGTCGAGTTGAGGGTCAAGTTATTCGGGTTTGTCATAACAAGTAAACTGACATATTAGTAACAAAGCTAAGAAGAATGTCATTTTTCATCTTGGCATTTAAAAATGATTTTTTTGAAAGTTCCTAAATATTTAGATATTAAATGGACTTGAAGCTTTCAAATTTCACATTTTTTGAGGGCCTGGATGACAAGTGCCATTAGAGCAATTTTTAGCTTGCTAATATTAGAACATATAAGAAAAATTGTGCCACATAATCATTTATCATGTTAATTTCTATAGGATGTTTTAGTTCTACTAGTATTATAATATGAAAACTTTCACGCTCACTTTTATCTGAGCAAATTATTACATCCCTAGTAATCATTTGAGTTTGTGACATCCCAAGCTTTGTTTCTCTTAAATTCTTCCAAGTATTGTTCATTTGACAGTTCATACGAATGCCACAGGTGCAAGCTCAAATTGCAAGACTCAGAAGGCAGTTGAGTTTGGTGGAGGGGCAGCCTCCACAGCTGAAATCTACCTCTGACCTGTAAATGCGCACTATATCTCATTATGAGAAATATTCTTATTCTGAGATTCTTGTAATGTTAATTCACTACACCGAGGAAAACTTTGTACTTGTTCCATTTTCTTGCCAGATAAGAAAGCGTAAGACATAATTATTGTGAAAATGTAATGCAATTGATGATGTGATGTGTATATAGTAGATTTTTATTTGAGAGTTTGCTTAAGGTTCAGACTGCATTATGTCGTATGGTTGAACCATGTGCTCAAAGACTCTCTAGAGTATGCATTTCTTGTTATGAAGTTATTTTACATTCTGGAATTTGCTCTTTTGTGATTTCACTAGGCTTAACTCCACTCACGATCAGAGAATTTATATGAACGGTCCAGGTTCTCTGTTGAGTGTTCCCATCAGATGACACGAAGGATATCTGATTTTTCTCTTCATTATGTACCTGTAAATACCAAAAGTTCACTACTTGATTGAGTCTAAAAATTGTAATTTATGAATAAAATATCTGTAATTTATGAATAAAGCATCTGCTGAGGGTTCTATGCTCGTTCATTTGTTTGCTGCTTGTATTGCTGAGGGAACAGGGATGAGTTCTTATTCTTAATTATATTTTCATAACATGTTATTCAATAATGTTGTGTGCCCTTCACACAGCTATCCCCAATTCATTAATATCACTTGAACGGTAAACTACGATGAACTAAGTCTTCTTGCGTTTAACATTGGTGTGTAAAAGTGGATCAAGCTGCCCAGTCGGCCCGTAAATGTGGCCTAGTGCAGGGTCACTCGCTGTTAAGAGTCGTCATGGCGGGCTTGTCGCTATGGCTTGCGGACTCGTTGGTGTTGGCCTGGGTGGCCCGGCCCGACCAATGAAAAAAGCTCGGTGTTGGATCAGCTCACCTGTGAAGAGTGGTAGTGTTGGGCTTTACTCTATGGCTTGTAGACTCGTGGCTCTTGGCCTGCACCGTGCAAAATAAGTAATTATATAAGGGAAAAATTTCATAATCCAGATATTAAGCATGCTGTATTTCAATTTTAAGATGGGAGGTTTGTAATTTCAATACTCAGAGAGAGAGAGAGAGAGAGAGAGAGAGAGAGAGAGAGAGAGACAGGATTTCGTTGCATATTCCCAACAAACATGCAGTTTTCATATGTGAACAAACTCTCCAAAATTTATGATTTAATTTATTTAATAAATTATTAATAACATTTATTTATAATTTAATTAATTAATTATATATTTTATTAATTAAATATATTATGGTCACATATCCATACAATTTGGTCACAGATTCACAATTTAATTAGTCATATATTATTTTTAATCACAAATCATAATTTTTAAATGCCACAAATTATTTTATGGTCACAATTCAAAAATTTTATAGGTCACAATTTGCTTCCTAGTCACAGATCAAAAATTAATATGTCACAATTTATATATCGATCACATACAAATATTATACGTCACAGTTTATTAAAAGGTCGAAAATTAATATGTTTTTAGGTCACATTAGTCACAATTTATTTTTTTCATTGATCACATATTATTTATCAATCACAAATTAATTAATTTAATGGTCACAATGGACCAAATAATCTGTGACCACCAACACTACCAGCCACCCCTCACCGTTGTAACACAGACCACCACCACATGACAAATCACCAAAAACAATGAAAAACAAACCACAAGACCACCATCGTCACCGCAGATCGATACCACCATTTGCGACCACCACTATCGCCCCAACCACCACCAACATCACACCACGACCACTACCAACATCACACCACCCCGCCTCCTCCCTGTTCACCGAATCACAACCCAAACCCACCACAAGCCACGATCGTACCAAAACTGCCATCAACCACCACTAGATCGACCATCGCACCTCACCGTCCAAACACCACCCATTGCTAGAGCCACCGTCAAACAACCATTAGCAAAAAAGAAAAAAAAATACGCAAGATCTACCAACAAATCAAAATCGTCGCTGCAAGCAAAGCTAGGAGGAGAGAATGTGAAAGAGAGGGTGAAGGCGGTGTGCTTTATCTAGTCTGAAAACGATATATCACCAACAAACCAGAACAAAACCACAAGATCTACCAACAAATCAAACCGCCATCACCTCACTGCCGTCGTCACCACTTCCACCATCGCCGCCCTTTGCACCACCACACTATTTTCAACCACCAAACAAACTCCTTCAATTTTGACATCAAGCGACCAATTTGTTTCCATATCAAATTGGCCCCTGATTAGGGATTTAGGGTAGAGAGAGAGAGTGTGAAGAAGAAGAAGAGGTAAAGAGAGAGAGAGAGAGAGAGAGAGAATAAGAGTTTGTTTGGCCCGATTTTTTCACCAAAAAAATTGATTTTTTGACCATTATTTCATTATTTCAGCCGTCATTTTTGACTTCTTCTTTCATAGGTGGACCCCACTTTTCTCCTAAAAGTCAAAAAATCAATTCTCAAAATCACTCACAAACAGGCTCTAAAGAGGAAAGGGATTAGGTTTGGCGTGAAAATCGATGGCGTGGGTTATTAATAAAATATTAATTAAAATAAATTTTCTGATTTCTGAAATGTTAAACTTCCTCTATGATTTCTGAACTCTAGATTTTAATGTTAGGGTTTTTTGTAATTTCCACTAAATATAATTGTATAAAAAACCCACATAATAATAAATTTGGCTAAGCCCAAGACATATCACGTCTTTTAAGAAGTGAACAATGTTGACCTCGATTTTTGTACTTTCGACGTGGTTAATAGACTTCGGATTTAGCAACATCCACGTAAATTCCTTTCTTACACAATTGGACAAATCATTAATCACTCGTGGGCTTCTTCGACGGTGAGGGGAGGAAATCACAAGCACTTCGGTTAAATCAGGCAACGAGGAAAAATATAGTGAATGTGGGATGAGCTTTAAGATGCAAGCCACTAAAGTGTTCAAACATCGGGCGAATGTATAAAGATGAGAGCAGTCTTTCAATTCGAGAGTGAAAATTGCACTACTTTCGAGTTGGTGAGAGTCGTGAGCTTTTATAGTAGTATGTATGAAGTGGTAGTAATTGGATGAAGAGATATGTGACTTCATCCTAATGAATGAAGTGTTCCATCATAGACATCACTTCATACATTATAGGACGTGCAACATTTAATGTAATCTAAAAAGAATCACTCCATAGGTCTGTGTATCTATGATGTCGTTGATAAGACTAGACATTATGCTGCTGTAAGAGGTTACATTAATCACTTTATGGCTAGGAGTTATCCACTTCGAACATATGGACTTCGGGCTCTTGCATGATGCTTCGGTTGAAAACGGTGGATTGCCTACCTATGAATGGCTTGTAGCAGGATTTGCGTCGCTTCGATCACCGTGCTTTAACTTCAAGTGACGCTTCGGTTGATGCTTCTTTGCTTCATCATCTTTGATGACATGGAGTGTGGGCCTTTAGTTGGGCTTCTGGATGACTGCATGTGGGCCTCTTCTTGAGCCTTGGTGACGAGGCATAACAAACATCTTTCTTAGTAGCAAGGTTGGAGGAAAGAATATGAAAGATGATTTCAACCAAGCATAGGGCAAGAATGCTTTTTATTGGGACGATGATTTGAAAAGACAGCTTTCATCTCGGAAGAAATATGAGTAGGAGTTAATTCAAACACTTCTTATAAAATGAAACCATTCCCTAAAGCAAACCCTCTTCATTTCTATGAGGAACTCAAACAATTGCTTCAAACAAAACATCACGAATTATTGCTTGTGATTATAAATCCTCCTCCATGGTTAGAAATCTAAAGAGTGAGTACAAATTGTAACGCTACTAATGTGGCTTATCAAGATTGATTAGCCTCAACTAAATTAACACTACTATATTTACATGGTTAATAGCTTCGAGCAATCTGTTCGTAATTGTATCAAAATATGTTGATTTTTATTGAAGTTCACACAATCTAGAAATTCCGGGTGATCTTATAATAAGAATGTATTCAGTACAAGGAAGTTAAGGTGACAACTGAAGTTGTTAGGAGTGATTTCATAGGGCCTTAGTATAGTAATGTTTTAGAAGAAGAGTAACATGGGTTCATGTGGAATACGGATTGCTGGGTCACCATCAATTCAAAAAGGAAAATTCGTTTTTATGATTTTGTTTGTGCAGAGCACCACATTTTTTAGGGACCATCTACCATGTGCACCATCTTTCTCTTTTTCGTCCTTCTATTTCTAATATTTTTACTATTTGGATAATATTCCATTTTTCAGCTACCACCGTCTACCCTCCTTGTATATGATATATAGGTAAATTTCACTACTTTTAAGGATTTACTATATATAGCTATTAATTTACTCGCAGGATTCGATGTTGAGTCGAGTATATAGTTATTTGGAATATCTTTCTCTATATTAGTAAAATTTGTTTGCTCAAAATATACATCATCTTTGGTTTGTTTATAATAGATGAACGATGGGTGCAACAATTTTCTTGATTAAATATGGTCACGTGCACTTCTAAGGACTTTACAGCATGTTCGATGCAAACAAGATTAGACATAAATAAATAGTAGTATGATATATTTTTCAATCTTAGCACTTTGGTTACCTATACCTTACAAGCCGGTATTAAGGATGAGTTTTACCCGAAGTGATTTTTACAGTTGGTATTAGAACAAACACCCTTCTTGGGGTATCCTTGTTGTTGATAGAGTTTACTTGGGGAAGCTATTCCATCACAAAGTTGGTTCGGTGTAATCGCTTAATCGAAGAGAAGTATATCTCACGCAGTCCGCAAAATATTGCACAAAGTTACATCGATGTAAAATAAAATGGGGATGCAAAGCATTAGCTTTTTCGGATGGATTTCTCAGCCTTGGAACATGCAGAGATGCAAGTATTCCGGCAATTCGAGTGGTGCTCAAATTACTGTTTCCAATATTTGGTGGTGTTGGTAGGCCCTTTTTGCTGCTAATTTCAATAGGAGGACCACATGGGTAGGCCCACCTTTCTCCAACAGGCCTCCACATTCCAGCCTTACCTTCTTACTGTTGCTACAAAATTGTCACTCGATATAGATTTAAGGATTAGAATGAGACAACTTTAACTTTTGTGGGACATCTTTATTTCACTTTCAATTCTTAATGAATAATTTTCTTCAATTAACTCTTTAACTGAGATAAGATTTGTTGTTCATGTTTGGCTGGGATTGCAATCTGTTATCCTAATTTCAAATAGCAAGATGCTACGCGATACACTACAAGAGACGTAAAATTTAAAATGTCGTATAGACTTTTTTAGCAAGAGTTAAGCTGTGAAATATGTTGATAGTAGTATAGCAAGGACAGTCAAATGGAGACAACATATCCTAACTCTCACGAAGAAATCATAATGGAGAAAAATGCTTTATTAAGAATAGAAAGTTATCCTTCAATGTTACTTTTGCCGAGCATCATTAATCTCTACGAGAAAAGATTAAAATCTTGCATATATGAAGGCCTTAATACACAGGTATGAATGTTAAATTCAAGAAGCTTCACAATGATCAGTTCGCATGTACGTATCAAGAATCAAAATCATAACAAGAGGTCGTGAAGAACAAGAACAACATAGGAACAATATAGCATCATGGTACAAAGCTAGTACTTAAGAGTAGTCGATCAAAACGAGGGAAAAAGAACGACTAAAATATTCAAACTTTTCAAATTAATATAAGCATAGATTGACTATTATTGGCAGATATGAAAAGGGTCAGAAGTAGTAAAGTATCGAATCCTGCGGATGGGCACATGGATTTCTGCAAATTTTGACATATATATATGTATGCTTTTCTTTAATTATCTCAAGAATCACAAGTCCAACAATCACAAAAGACCAAACTCTTTCCATTGACAATGTATGAATTCGTACTTTTCGGTACACTTTTTTTTAGTCCGTGATTTACAATGGATTCTTTTCGGGCACACACTTTTACAAGAAAAAATTGATGATCCTGTACGCATTACACACACACATGATAGAATTGTTAATTCAAATCATGACACTTTGAAAATGGAGTTGATAGGAATGAAACAGTGTGAATGTACTGACCCACTCGACATCTGTTATGTCATGATTTAAGTGTCTCGAAATGTGAATTATTATGATTTGAGTGGGCAGTCAACACTTCAACCACGTGAGCACAAGCGAAGCTAGAAGGGGTTCGTCGGGTGCTGGCTCCACCTCCAATTATATATGAAAATTTGTTTGCTCAAAATATACATCATCTTTGGTTTGTTTATAATAGATGAACGATGGGTGCAACAATTTTCTTGATTAAATATGGTCACGTGCACTTCTAAGGACTTTACAGCATGTTCGATGCAAACAAGATTAGACATAAATAAATAGTAGTATGATATATTTTTCAATCTTAGCACTTTGGTTACCTATACCTTACAAGCCGGTATTAAGGATGAGTTTTACCCGAAGTGATTTTTACAGTTGGTATTAGAACAAACACCCTTCTTGGGGTATCCTTCTTGTTGATAGAGTTTACTTGGGGAAGCTATTCCATCACAAAGTTGGTTCGGTGTAATCGCTTAATCGAAGAGAAGTATATCTCACGCAGTCCGCAAAATATTGCACAAAGTTACATCGATGTAAAATAAAATGGGGATGCAAAGCATTAGCTTTTTCGGATGGATTTCTCAGCCTTGGAACATGCAGAGATGCAAGTATTCCGGCAATTCGAGTGGTGCTCAAATTACTGTTTCCAATATTTGGTGGTGTTGGTAGGCCCTTTTTGCTGCTAATTTCAATAGGAGGACCACATGGGTAGCCCCATTTTTCTCCAACAGGCCTCCACATTCCAGCCTTACCTTCTTACTGTTGCTACAAAATTGTCACTCGATACAGATTTAAGGATTAGAATGAGACAACTTTAACTTTTGTGGGACAACTTTATTTCACTTTCAATTCTTAATGAATAATTTTCTTCTATTAACTCTTTAACTGAGATAAGATTTGTTGTTCATGTTTGGCTGGGATTGCAATCTGTTATCCTAATTTCAAATAGCAAGATGCTACGCGATACACTACAAGAGACGTAAAATTTAAAATGTCGTATAGACTTTTTTAGCAAGAGTTAAGCTGTGAAATATGTTGATAGTAGTATAGCAAGGACAGTCAAATGGAGACAACATATCCTAACTCTCACGAAGAAATCATAATGGAGAAAAATGCTTTATTAAGAATAGAAAGTTATCCTTCAATGTTACTTTTGCCGAGCATCATTAATCTCTACGAGAAAAGATTAAAATCTTGCATATATGAAGGCCTTAATACACAGGTATGAATGTTAAATTCAAGAAGCTTCACAATGATCAGTTCGCATGTACGTATCAAGAATCAAAATCATAACAAGAGGTCGTGAAGAACAAGAACAACATAGGAACAATATAGCATCATGGTACAAAGCTAGTACTTAAGAGTAGTCGATCAAAACGAGGGAAAAAGAACGACTAAAATATTCAAACTTTTCAAATTAATATAAGCATAGATTGACTATTATTGGCAGATATGAAAAGGGTCAGAAGTAGTAAAGTATCGAATCCTGCGGATGGGCACATGGATTTCTGCAAATTTTGACATATATATATGTATGCTTTTCTTTAATTATCTCAAGAATCACAAGTCCAACAATCACAAAAGACCAAACTCTTTCCATTGACAATGTATGAATTCGTACTTTTCGGTACACTTTTTTTTAGTCCGTGATTTACAATGGATTCTTTTCGGGCACACACTTTTACAAGAAAAAATTGATGATCCTGTACGCATTACACACACACATGATAGAATTGTTAATTCAAATCATGACACTTTGAAAATGGAGTTGATAGGAATGAAACAGTGTGAATATACTGACCCACTCGACATCTGTTATGTTAAGATTTAAGTGTCTCGAAATGTGATTTATTATGATTTGAGTGGGCAGTCAACACTTCAACCACGTGAGCACAAGCGAAGCTAGAAGGGGTTCGTCGGGTGCTGGCTCCACCTCCAATTATATATGTATACAAAGTGCTTATATGGGTAATATCAGAAGACAAACCTCTTATTGAATGACCCTATGTAGACAAGAGAGTGTTACTTTCAGTAGAAGGACTAATGTCGTAAATTCTCTCGATCGGAGAAAATGAACGGTTATTCAAATAAATATGGAACAAGAATTAAATTTGTTGAAAAATACAATGTTTACAGTAGAGACAGTATGTTGGAAATAGAAACAAGGACCATACAAAGTCTGACGTTGAAACCTCAAACCGGCTTTCACCAGTGAAAACCAAGTCTGAGGCTAATATGAATGGAGTGTTGAATTTTGCTACCATTTTTGTCAGAACATAGAGAGGATTTTCCGCTTCAATGTTCAAACAAAATGTTAGCTAATTAAACATTATTAACAAAACAAAACATCCCATGAAGCAATTCAAGATAAAGAGAACCAACGTATGACATTAATATCCCAGTGGGTTTAGGGTCCCACATTGTCCTTGCAAAGCTCTCTCAGAGCCCCAAAAAACCCATGGGCTGTCCTTTGGCCCGCCCCCACTCCCCCACTCACTTCAAACTCTCTTCATAAATACCTTGACAACCGTCTATCCTCATCACCACCATTTTCACTTTCAACCTCTCTTCTCATTCAAACTTTTATTATCTTATAATAATAAGAAACGTATTTTTCTCCAAATGGCAATCAAAAAATCATCAAACAAACTTCCACAAACAGCAGTTTTGAAGCAAATTCTCAAAAGATGTTCAAGTTTGGGCAAGAAACAAGGGTATGATGATGAAGATAGGCTTCCGTTCGACGTACCGAAAGGCCATTTTGCAGTTTACGTTGGTGAAAACAGAAGTAGATACATAGTTCCCATATCTTTCTTGTCTCACCCTGAATTCCAGTGCCTTCTTCGTCAAGCCGAAGAAGAATTTGGATTCGATCATGATATGGGACTCACTATTCCTTGTGAAGAAGTTGTTTTTCGATCTCTAACGTCAATGCTTCGATGAAAACATGAATTTGTTTGAAGAGAGATGAACAAGATGAAACTGAATTGTTTTGCCTTTTTTTTAACATCTTTCTTATTTATGGCCGGTTTGATTTATTTTTCTCTTCTTTTTAGCCCATTTGGGTGTTTGTATTTTTTTCTAGTGACCCTAACCCCAAAACCCATGAATATTTTCTGGGTTAGATTTGTAAAACGTATGTAAATTTTCCTCGTAGAGGTGTTTCACTACACGCTGTGAGAGATCTTAATTAATGTTAAGACAATTTGCAATGTTAATGTTTATTCATTTTTGACAATCCCATGAAGAAATCTATTACACACTGTCTGTATTGAGGGGTGTTTGGTAACCATTTCTATGTAAAAATGTATTTTAAAATAGTAACTTGATGGGAAGTGTGTGATTGAAATATAAGGAAAATTTTTTGATTTACGTGTAATATTATTTTAATAAAAAATGTGCGGTTGAAAAGAAGAGAGAGAAAAATACATTTTGAAAAAAATGGGTACCAAACAGGGGTTAAGATTTTTGTCCCATGTATTTTTAGTTTAAAAAAAAAAAAATCAACTACTAACGTGAAATAATTGTAACATTTGAAAATTTCCATAGACCTATTGGCATTACACAACTTTAAAGATTATAACACAACACATCCTGGAATAAATTTTTGGATTTCTTTTGACATGACTTTTGAAAAGTAAAAAATTGCATCGGAGATTGAAAATTGCTTTTGAACATATTTTAATAATTTTGTTTAATTTTTTATTTGAATGGAAGAGATTTAGAAAGAAACCCCCTCAAAAAGGTCTTCTAAAAAACAAAAACAAAAGTAAAAGCTCTGCCTAGTGGGCCGATATATACCACCTCGTACATTTTTGCACTGTTTCATACATTTTTCATTTTTTCTACTGTTGTACATTTAGGATCGTGCTGCTCTACCAGATTTGTAAATGATCTGGTAGAGCAGCTCCACTCACATTTGGGGGTGGGGTGGGGTGGGGTGGGTTTTTTTGACATTTTTTTAATAATGGGTTCCAATGAAGGACCCATTGCTGTGAGAGAGGCTTCTCTACCAGATCATTTACTGGTCTGGTAGAGGAGCAAAATTCATACATTTATTACCATTTCATCTATAATCTTGAACTAATTAAAAAGTAGCTTTATGCATGTCTTTGACATTTATAAATAAATAGCGACGAGCCTCATAGATTGAGGTTTTATTTTATTATGTCGTCAAAGACAAAGCTAAGAGAGTAGAATTGCGAGGGCAAAGTTCTCAATATTTTAATTATGGGGCAAAATTGAAAATTATAATGATTTTTTTTTTTTTAATCTTTTGTAATCTATTGCAAAATTTTGAATTTCAAATTTAGTGTGGGGACGATGGACCTCACTACCCTCACGATAGATCTGCCCATGGTCATGTCATGTATAACAATTTTGTAAAATCGTTTGATAGATAACTTGACTCTAGACTTAGTACGTGAAGAACGGTTTTTTTACAATAAATTAACAATTTGTGGGGTATATTTCATCATAAATCATAAGTTTTGGGGGTCCATAACCAAATTTTGTCTATGAAAACGATTAGTCATGGACGTACGCTTTCAGAGGACAATTTGGATTTAATTCCTCATCATTTATTGTAATGTTTATAGAGCCATCTGCATGGGTTGCATGAATCTCTTTCCATACGCAACTCTCCCAAAAAATCCTGCATATTTTTCTGACAAAAAATACATTAACTACATAAAACACAAAATTTTCCTCCTCAAAATGTTAAAGATTGTATCCGGATGAACTTGCATCAAGCTTGATGATAGAAAAAATAGAATTCTGAGTATAATGTATTCTCTTTAATAGTTTAAGTTTTAAACAAGTCGCGTGTGTTGTGCTCTTCGTAAGGCAACGTGTGTGGCAACGCAGAAAGCACCTACAATTGTTACTATTGGTGCGACAAACGTCGCAGTATGTTCATGCCCCTTGCCAATACGCCAGGTAGACACTGAACTTTGTTAAAAAGGTTAAACCCTAACCTTAAAGGTCCCCCACCACCCCTACCCTGGAGTATCGTGAGGGAGGTAAATCGCAGGTTATGCCTTCAAGGATACAGGATGGAAGGCTACTTGTACACTTGCACTTACCCAAGAGCCAAATTCATATTTTAGGATTCGAACCCTTGACGCAGCAACCTCAAGCAAAGCTGGATTTATCCACCCTCCCCTTTTACCACTTGGAGATGTGCCTTGGGGGCAGACACTGAACTTTGTTGTGTGCATGTTGTGTTGATCGAGCACAACATGTGTAACAACTTAATAGGTGTATGTAATTGTGATTGTTGCATGCTTAAAGTAAAGCAACAGCATTGGAGGCACAATCCATCTAATTGAGGTCGATCAGGAGCATTTCGTTAGTAAAAGAGATGAGAGGATCAGTGCATATAGTAAACTGTCTAGCCAACCCAATCTAAATCTCAATTATGTAGCCCTTAGTTGTTATTTGGATCCTACATGCTCTACACTTGTATATTCAGCGAGTTTATAATTTTAATGGACAAATTCAAATAATCTTCGAAATTTTATCATGACATCAACAATGCACTCTGATCAGACGTCGTATGACGACGAGCCGATTAGCCAATCAACACAAGGAATCGTCCAGGACAAATTGAAATGGCGATCAAATCGAGGCAATACATAACTCGAGAAAAAGTATGCCGTACATATGCTATACACATACAACCTCCCCCATCCCCACCTTCCACACACACACACACACACACACACACCAACTTTTATCATCATTATACGGACCATTAAAGGAGCAAGGATTTCCTACTGTGAGCTGGTCCTTCCCCATCTCTATTAAAAGCAAGCATTGGGTTAATTTCTCTTAGTTTCAGCCACATGGTACCTGACAACTCTTTTGCATAAAACTGTGTATCTTCTTTTTAGCGCACATTGTAATGATCATATCTTCAGCTATATTTCAACAAGTTTGAAATCCACAGAAGGAAAATACCTCACCATCGTAATTGATGTGTTTTTATATACTCCCTATGTCCCAATTATATAGACTGAGTTTCATTTTTCTCTTGTCCCAAATATATAGGTATGTTTTCTAATTTAGAATATTTTATTTTATTACTTTACTAATATACCATTATTCAATTTTCCTCACTTAATATGTCAATTTTTTGAAATCATCCAAATACACATTTTTCACTTCTTGGAAACATGGAACAATTCTCATTTCTTCTACTTCAAATTAAATCATTCAAATTCTTTATTAATTCCAACAATAATTTGCTACTACGTACAAAAAATTAAATGGGGGTAAATTAGGAAAGATCTTGACAACAATTAATTTTTCATTGACATTATATAAGATTTCTTAATCCGTGTGAAAAACGAAACAAATTTATATAATTGGGACGAAGGGAGTATAAAATATGCCTTCCAAATCTCATCTCAATCTACTTTTAGGTCTTGTTTGAGCCCATTATTTGGCTCTAAATAGATTTTGTGATAGTAGATTGATGGAGAATATGTAATTAAAATATAATAAAAAGTATTGAATTTGCATGTAATGTTATTTTATTGAAAAATATATCGTTGGAAGGAAGAGAAAGAAAAATGTATCTCGAAAATAATAGGAATCGAACATTTCATCAACTTTTATTAAAATATACTAAAAAATCAAATTTTAATCTCCGCCAAACAAGCCCAGAACAAGTTGGTGATTAGACTAACTTAGTTCTCATTTGTCCCCCATTAATTTTTATTCCATTATTTTTATTTTTCTCTCTCCTATTTTCAATCACATAATCTTCCATAAAATAATATTACACGTAAATCGAAACTTTTTTTTTTTTTCAATCACTCATTTTTCAAAAACATCATTCCCCCTATTTTCATTACCACAAATGGGGGCCTTGAGCACATGAGTAAGACTAAAGTAACATAAAAATCAAGGAAACAAGAAGATACTGTTGGTTGTATTTGAGCCCCCTTTAGCCCCCATTTTTTGGAAATGAAAATGGTGGAATAGTATTTTTTTGAAAAATAAGTGGTTAAGAAATAAGAAAAAGTTTTCGTTTTATGCATAATATTATTTTATAAAAAATTATGTGATTAAAAATAAAAGAAAAAAAGAAAATGTAATGAAATAAAAATTAACGACAAACAAACGAGGGCTAAATAAAGTCCTTCCGTCATAAAGTACAAATGTTAGTACTGACCAGAGCGATAGTTTTCTGTCAGACTAATTTTGAGGTTGCATGTTACTTCTGAACTTTTTCTTTTTGTCTTGTCTGTAATTAATGATTAATCCCCGTTTGGCCTCATTTTTTGGAAATAAATTGGGTAGAATAATTTTTGAAAAAGTGAGTAATTAAAAAAAAAAATCGTTTTACGTTTAATATTATTTTATAAAAAATTGTGTAATTGAAAATATAATAGAGTGAAAAATGAAATGTAATTTAATGAAATTCAAATATGGGCTAAATACTTCACATTTATACATTTACATTTTTTAGTTTTTTCGTCAAATTTAGTCCTGATTTAATTCATCTAAAAAATTGAATTAAAATTTAAGTTAAAATTAATAATTAATTTTAATCATATGCTTTATAGAATACTCAACTTTTCAATCATATATTTTATTAACTTTTTATCAAAATCTACTAAAAATTTTATTTATCTTAACCAAAAAGTGGTTACTATATCTATAGAGTTTCTATAAGGGTATGTTTGATTCACTTCCAATTCCATGGGAAAAGAAAAATGTTTTCCACTTTTGTTAGTGTTTGATAGACATTTATTTCTTGACAATTGAAATTCCATTTTTGATTTACACGGTGATCATTTCTTGCTTTTCATTGAATTTGTTTTCCCACCTATATGGTGAGAAATGGAATTCCATGTATATATATATTATTGGCAATGGAAACAAATTCTAAAAATTATTGTAAAAAAAAAAATTTCCATCAATTGACAATTTTCATGTAAAATAAAGTCAAAAAAACACCAAAAGATAAATGATTTTCTTGAATTTTTTTATTTTTATTTGCAATGAAAACAAATTTCATCTCAATACCAATAAAATTTATCCCTTTAATTGACAATTTTCATGTAAAATAAAGTCAAATAAACATCAAAAAATACTTTTATTTCAACATTTTTCACGTATAAAATTATACCAATCAAACACAATAATTTACAATTCCCAAGAAAATAATTTTTAGGTAATTCAATTTTCAAAAATTCGTTTTTTTTCACCCAAATTCTATCTTTACAATCAAACGGACCCTAATTTCAGTTTGTATTTCATTTTAGATCAAAAAATATTTCTGTGGCTACCATGCTATGCAATGCTGGTAAAAAAGAACCGATTTCTATCTGGGGCACGTACTTACTACCCTAGCACGTGACAATGGTCCCGCTATTGGTCCAGTTCCGTGCAACTTGTGGAACATGTACGATTCATGGTCACGTGGCCCGGCCATTCCCCAAATCATGACACCGTTTGTTCTGATGGATTCATATTCAACTTGTAGTAGTAGTTTTTTCTCGTAAAATCATCATTTGTCTTCAATCTTACATTTAGAGCCCGATTGATCAATTTTCCATGTTACTAACAAATAAACTCAATCTTGGGAGGCTGTCTTTCATTCGTAACAGCACCGAACATACAACTTTCTTCAGACAGAGACTCTAAAGTTCCTCGACCTCGATCTCTTCAAAAAGCTTCGTCCATTACATTGGTCGTGAAGCCCAAGCAATGACCAACCGAAACACGGGCTAGGGACCAACCGAAACACGGGTTAGGAACCAACCTCAAAATTGTTCCATCTGAAGGCATGAGCCCAAGGCCAAGCACAGCACAATCCCATTAGACCTCTATTATCAAAAGATCTTAGTATGACTCGATCAAGGATACGGTTGCCCCTTACAACCTTCAAATTGTACTACCAGTTGGACTCTTAACCATGCTAAGGGTCCTAGATCAGATCATATACGGCCTTGCATAAAACACTATAAATACATAAACTATGTTTACTATTGAGGTATGCTTACATCAATTCAGTTTATAGTTTCATTTATAAAGAAACTCTGTTCGTGATTCGGATCGAGCTTTGACAGCATCACTGAATAAACTAATCAAAGTCCAGAGAAAGTATAACATCCCTTAATTTCTCCACTTCTCTTTTCCCATCCACAATTGATTCCATCTAGCAAAACATATTTTTAGTTTGACAAAATCATATGTACTGTACTTGGAATTAGAGTCCCTCACAACTGAAACATAACTATATAATCTTGGGTTGCCCAAATAGAAAAGACAAAAAGACAATATTTTCTTGGTTTTTTTAAAGATTGATGGGCCAAATCCTGATGCTTAAAAACAGTGTGTATTGATAATATTTCAATAGAGTATGGGAACTAACTGAACCAACACCGGAGTCATCAAAGCCTGAACCATGAAAGCATTCTCAAGAAAAGGGAATATTTACGAGTAGCTGCATAGAACACAATTTATTTTTTTATTTTTTATTTATTTATTATTATTTTTTTTTTTGTCATTGATTATTTTCACCAGAGGGCCAAAACACAACATCGCACTCCTTCAGTGGTGTCCTTTGACTTCAGCTTTCTTGTGAGACTTGGCCTTTGCCTGATGAAAATAAGACAGCGCAAAAATCAGCATTTGCCAAGCCATGACATATAGACGTACGAGAATCTCTAAACGAAATTATAAACTAATGATTTTAGATTTTCAAGTCTGCAAAGACATGTTCAAGCCAAAAAAAAAAAACAGAAACACACATATGCGCACACATTGAAACACGAAACACAAGGAATTATGTAGCGTTGTCCAGCGGTGGATAAATCCAATGAAACAAACGATTCATGTAACACGAATAAGTGATGGATAAATAGGTAGTACTAGCAGGTTCCTCAAAATGTGTGGATAAAAGGCCACTTAAGTGTTTATAAACAGTTTATGAACATGAGCCAAACATAGGCTTATCTATTGTGATCAAGTTTAGGTTGTTGTTGTGTTGTGCAATAAAAGGTGTATGTTAATCTCTGCTACTTGGAAGAAGATTAAGACAGCACTTCACATCTAGATTCTAATTACAAGTTTTGTAAGTGTGCCACTGCTAGGAATTCACCAAACTCAAAAATTGTGGATTATTTTCAATAATCTTCAAAATAATTGTATTCCGTAGGAAAGTTTGTGTCACATAAAGCTAACCACCTCCCAGTTAGACCCATTTGAAAAACAAAAGGTTAACCAACACCGTACAATAAATGCTAGCATATAGAAGCACCAAGATTCTTCTACCATGCCAAATTGTCAACTAAGGCAATCAATCAACTGAACTTTGCCAATCTTCTAATTGAGCTAATATCACGCATGACCCTCCCAAGAGAAATGTACTCTTATAACGAAAAAAAGGGGCAAATAGTTGTCTTTAGTACTGAATATAATTTGCAATTGCAATTAGAAAATTAATCAGTGACAGAACATGCTGTGATCTTCAAGCATTACGAAGACGTCATTCTGGCCTCGCTACTACTGAAATGTCCTGATGCCTGATGGAAATTTTATTCCCTTTCTCTTCGGAAAGGTTCCAGGATTATACTGGATGGTTTATTCTATTTGTACAGAAAATGGAATCACAGAATTTCATTGGAAATCTCACGTGTAGCCCAATGTGATGATAAAAAATGCCAAAAAATCCCCCACATCACCCCCTATTGTGAGTTATCTGTTGCAATTCTGTGAAATACCTTTCTGCTAGGATCGACTTCCTCGTACAATTGATGGGAAATTTTTCTTTGTACCTCAATTCTAAATAAATAACTTAAAAACCTTGGTTAATCTACATAAAAATGGATTCGGAAAAAATGCCTAACATAAATCCAACGTCAATTTTTTATTTGGGTTCCATTTTCTGTATTCAATTTGTACATCCCCTAATCTCAACTTCGAAGATCAAATCATCACTCTTTTAGACTTTATCTCATCCAAACAGAATCACGGCAAATGCAGGCCCTGTTATCTTAAAACAAGAAACTCAGCTCCAGATTCTGGATTTACATATAACCAACGTTTTCCACTCTAATAAACACCCAAAGGATGAACCACGAAAAGTTAAAATGGAACCAAATTACTGAAATTCCAATCAATTAGGAACAAAATACAGCTCAACACACAAAATATACTTCTGTCTCCATTTCTATTTACTGAAGACAAAAACTAAAGGTTCAAAAAATCAAAAGGGTCAGATAGAAATTTACGGTACCCTAAGAATTTTGAGTTTCATGTTTCCGTAGATGAGCCCCAACGAAAAGGCAGATACCCGAGCCACCTGCCATCCGTCGAAATGCATTACAATTCAGCATATCATTACATTTACATCTGGGAAAAAACGGATCGAAGAGAAATGTAATATACCAAAGCGAGGGTGCTGGTGCCGGAATAGGGTCCAGGAGGAGGCGCCATTGTAGCCCCGGAGGAATTTGACAGCTCCTGTAGTTTATGCGAGTGAGTTTGTGAAAGGGTTTTAGGAATTTAAGGCAGTGGAGCAATCAAGAGTGCAGTTATATTCGGGAACGGTTGTATTGGAATGAAAGGATTAATTTTATTAGCAGTCACTCGACTTATAAAGAAATTTCAATTGTCACTAAATTTTAATTTGTTCCAACTGAGTGCTAAACTTCAATTTATTTTCAAAATTTAAAATTCTTGTTGCATTTTGGCACCTATCATCGAGTTAATTTTCCCAATATTCTTAAAATGTTGGATATTACTCATTAAATTACTTTCTTTTTGCAACTATAACGGAATAGTTGATATAGCAAACAGATTGCACAGCAGGTATCTAATCACTAAATAGATACCTAATCATAAAGAAATGTATGTGTAATTGGCACAAAACGTTCCTACCTTTCAACTTCATTGTGGAAAACGTCCTCACCTTTCATTTTTTTATATTTTTGCCCTCGAATCAACCTTTCATTGCGATGAAGGTCCTTCCATCCAACTCCCGTCACTTCTGCCTTTAATTAAAGAGAATGACCCAATTTCTTTCCAGTCAACAGGGGTAAAACCGTCATCACCCAATTGAATCCTTCATTTTCATCATTTTCTTCGAACAACACGAGAAGGTTCCCATTCCGTTCTCTTTTGGTTCTTCAAAAATTTCCATTTGTCTTCCATTTCTACAATTTCAATCAGGCTATGTCGAACCAGACCCGGGTCACTCGTTCGAAGCGACATATGAACAAATATATGGTGTGCCATAGAAAGAGTCCCAAAATCTCCCTCCAACAATGGAAGGATTTGCCCAGCAAGCAGAAACTATACAGTAAGGGATGGCTAATATAGTAATGAATGGGTTTAAACCAGAATCTATACCTGTTTACAAAGAATTGGTGCTTGAATTTGCTGTGTGATCGGTGGTTTTCTTCAATTCCGACATTGACGCAACCAAATCGGCTGTTTATACACTCTTCAACTTCCTATAGCGCCACAGCTAACGACCCAAAAATGCTTGTTCAAGGGTACCCGCAGAAGACCATTTTTGAATCAATTGAAGAAAATGGTTTCTCTTTTGGGATTTATTATCAGTTACCTCCTTCAACTCTCTTCTACAGGTATCATCTTCAATTCCCACTACACTTTTCAATTGTGTTGAATATTTATTGAGCTGTTGATTTTTATTTTATTTTGTTTTTTTGACGTGTTTAATAATAGACGTCAAAGTCCAAACTCTCTTATCGAGCTAGTTTCGAACATTCGAATCCGATAGCTATGTCAAAGTGATAGCTTAGCAGTGATATTTTTGAAGAAATACTTCTAACAATTGTAGAAATGAAAGACAAATGGAAATTTTTGAAAAACCAGACGGGAATGGAATGGGAACCGTCTCGTGTTGTTCGAAGAAAATGATGAAAATGAAGGGTTCAATTGGGTAAGGACGGTTTTACCTCTGTTGACTGGAAAGAAATTAGGCCTTTCTCTTTAATTAACGGCAGAAGTGACGGGAGTTGGACGGAAGGACCTTCATCGCAATGAAAGATTGATTTGAGGGCAAAAATGTCAAAAAATGAAAGGTAGGGACGTTTTCCACAATGATGTTGAAAGGCAAGGACGTTTTGCGCCAATTACCCAGAAATGTATCTTTGATTGCTCACTATACTTTGGTAAATATCTTTGATTGCTCACAATACTTTAAACTAGTTGAATTTTAGCCACTAAATTTCTCATACCGATGCTTAGATTATATGAAAATTTAGGAATTATCAAGGATTTTTCGACAACATACCTGCTTTATAAATTTATAGTTAGAATTCCCCACTTCAAAGAAGCACCTACGTGCAATTGAGGGGAGGTGTCTGTTCCAGATTTTTTTAGCAATGCACATATCTTTTGTGGATGTTTTTAATGTAATTATTAGCTCCAGCATCATGTTTTTTGGATTTTTTGGTGGATTTTTTTAAATGTAATTATTAGTTCCATCGTCATAAAGCTCATTAGGTCAAAATTAGGGGAGTGCTTGTATTTTTTTATGAAAAATTTAACGTAATTAGTAGCTTTAGTTGCACCGTGATTAATATTTGTCCCTTCGCTCTTCTTGATTCAAAAATTAATTCTCTCTCTCTCTCTTGTAAAATTCTTTGAACTTATACTAAAAAATCATTTATCCTCTTAAAAAAGAGAGTGCGAACAATTCAAATCGTTCTAATAAAAATTTCATAAAGTCGACGTGTTCCTTAAGAGCTCATGATAATTTATAAATTTTCATATCGAAGATACCAACCTAAATTTAGGTCCTGTTTGTTTCTCATTTTTGGAAGAATGAGAATGAAAAATATGTCCCACACAAGAGATAAAAATTCAAATTTGGTGATTTGATATGATAGATAACGATCATATTTTTCGTTTTAATGAGAAAAGAATGACAAACAAATAGAGGCTTAGTAAATTTTGGAACAATTAACTCCCTATCATCCCTTCATTAATAGAATTTATTAATTGATAATTATACTAAGCCCTTGATTGAGCCGAAAAATGATTTTTTGAATAATGTATTGATGGAAAATGTGTAGTTATAAAATTTTAAAAAAATTAGATTTGCGTGTAATATTATTTTATTGAAAAATATGTTAAAATGATGTCAAAATACTGTTTAAGAATTTTATTTTTTTTTTTTCAAATAATGAGGTTCAAACAAGGGCTAAATTGATATTGCGCCTAATTATTATGTCTCCTAAAAACGAGAAAAGTAAAACGATAGTAATGATAAATTAAAAGGTTGAACTAATGTGTTTTCTTATTTTGACACTTATATTACGCTATGATTTAGCAAGTTGTCTTAATCAATTTAGAATACTTCATGCGATAAGACAGATGATTAAAACTAATTTAAAGTTCAACAATCGAATTGAGATTTTACTGAAAGTTCAGTGACTACAGATGAAAATTACTCCAGTTAGGGCTACTCAATGTTGTAATTGTAGCACAATTCTCTCTTTTTATTCAATTAGGGCTAGAATTGTAATCAATACTTCAACATTGATTTCTCAGCACATATTCTGAGTAATTGGAGCAACTGTGAAACACAGAAATGGCGTCGAACCAGCAAGTGAGGGCATCGCACATACTTATAAAGCACCAGGGATCCCGGCGCAAGGCCTCCTGGAAGGATCCCGACGGTCGCATCATCTCCACCACCACGAAGGAAGTCGCCATCACCCAACTAAAAGCCCTCCGCGACGACATCCTCTCTGGAAAGGCCAGTTTCGATGAAGTTGCAACTCGCTTATCTGATTGTAGCTCCGCCAAACGCGGCGGTGATCTTGGTAAATCCCCTCGCCTTCCCGTTCGTTTTAGCTCAATGTATGATGTGGGTTTGGGGGTTTTAAGCTTTTTATTTAATGGTTATTGATTTTCTGTTTACTTTGTTTAGCAGTTATTTTTTTTAACAATTGTTCGGGTTATATCTGTTGCTTTAGTTGTTGGGTGAAAAAATCATTCTTTATAGAAAAAAGTCATCATCTAACATGTAATTTCAAATTTACTGTCAGATCAGAGTGCAGTGATTACTGATAGCAAGTTCTCCTTGAAATGCTGGTCTTTTCTTCTTAAGAAAAGTGAAAGTTCAACAAAATATCTACTTAGTATGTAGGCGAACATTTATAATAGAAGTGCAATCTGAGGGGGAGAGATGAATTATACAATGACTTGTGCGTATTAATGGTGTGAAATTGGGAGAATGGTCAATAATCAATAACCTTATCTACTTGAAGTTTGCAAAGGATTGTGGAGTTGAACTTGAATCTGGCAAGTATGGTGTGAAATTTGTAGAATGGTCAATAATCAATAACCACATTTACTTGAAGTTTGCAAAGGATTGTGGAGTTAAACTTGAATCTGGCAAGTATGATTTGAAATTTATAGAATGGTCAATAACTAATAACCGTATTTACTTAAAGTTTGCAAAAGATTGTGGATTTGAATTTAAATCTGGCAAATATAGCCTTTCTAGGATTCTAGAACTTGGGGGGAAGTACGTGGGAGCTGCCTTGGTCTCTTCCTACTCAACTGTACCTGGGATGAACTTTCTCTTGTAAATATTCTTAGTTGAAGATTATGGTATCGATTTGACTATCTGTGCAGATTCCACCATTGAGAAGCTGCTATACTAAACTTCTTTTTGATTGCTTTAAACTGATTCTCTTATTTGCTCTTGAAGCATGTCTGTACACATGGGCGCACACACACAATTATAAGAAGCATGGCTTCTGTATAAACTTTTGTTTTTCTTCTGTGTACTTCTCCTTTCTTGGAGACAGAGGTTTTGTCATTCATGAATGATACATTTGACCTTATTCACTGAGTTCCTTGAAAATTGATAATACTTTTATCGGATGAAACCACTGAATGGTTTTGCTCCAAGAAAGCTCTTTCTAAAATTTCTGCCTTCATTAAGCTGTATATGTCGCTATCTTCTTTTTTTGTCTGTTTAGGCTCATTGGCAACTTAATCCCCTGAAATAGCAGCGGCTTTGTTTGAGTCTACGACTAGTAAGAGACAATGAAATTTATGCCATTTTTTGGAAGATGGTGCATGTGTGAACTTTGTTGCCCCAGTTATCTGTGTTCTTATATCCTTGGGGAATTTTCATTTTTCCAAGTTCCAACATCATTTAAATTTTATGCATTTGGCTAATTCTTACGAAACTATACCACATATTAAAGTGGAAGTCTACCGTTTGAGGGTGGCTTCGTCCAATGTTTTGGTTCCTACTGAGTTGAGTAAAATGCACTGTACTGTTTGCATTTTTGGATGATCTCTTTTATGTTTTTGTCTTTAATGTTCCTATACAGTTACATCTCCGCGTGTTTTCTAAATATGTTTGCATGTATTGTATGGTGGTTCGTGATTTTTCTTATATGTCAAAGTTCTTGGTGGTTTGAGAAACGACGAGCTTGGTTCGGCTCTTGGTTCTATATTAAGATCTGAAGAATTGAATAAGAATCGAATCTCCCTAATTTTTTTAATTAATTTATTTTAAATAAGTCAAATTATTTTTTTAAATAAATTTGCCAACTAATTTATTTAGCTTAAACCTAAAAATAGGGTTAATTGTTCCAATGGTCACTGAATTTAGGTCAATATCTTCGATTGCTTATTGAAGTTTAAAATGATGAGTTTTGGTCACTGAACTTGGGTCCATGCTTTCAATTGCTCGCTAAAGTTTAAAATGTCGAGTTTTGATCACTGAACTTTAGAAAATGTTGCATGATAACTTTCGTCTCAAATCTCTAACGGAATTGGTGACGTGGTTGACGGAATGCACACATGGCGCCCTGTCACACCGTTAAACGTTGAGATGGTCGAATTTGGGCTGAAAAATGTCTTCTTTTGCTCATTGAAACTTAAAGTGGTCGAATTTTGGTCACTGAACTTTAAAGACATCAAACTTTGGCCACTAAACTTTAAAAAACATCTTCTATTGTTCACTATAAAATTAGATATAAGCACATATTTGTGCAATAAAATATTTTACAGGTTAATTCAAAAAAAAATTCAACTTTTTAATAACATATTCTCGAAAAAAAATCATTAATTTTAGAAATCTTTTTTTTAAATAATGGCCATCAAATAGGGGCTAAAATTCATTGTTAAAAATTCGGATTTAATTTAATTTTTACAATAAATATATTGTGTGTTTCATTGCAATCAGTAGTCACTTTCTTTGCACAGCTTTGCAAGCATTGTTCATACCATTAGAAATTATTACTCAATTACATAGTAGTTAAATTTAAATTTGATTTATTTTTTTAGAATTTGAAGCTATTTTCATCATAATATTTGAATTTTACAATGAAACTCACAATGAATTCATTTGTTGTTAAATGAAATTAAATCCAAATTTAACAACGAACTTTAATTAAATTCAAATTTATTATGAGCCAAATAAAACGTTTTTCAAAGTTTTGTGGCCCAAACTCGACAATACTCACTAAACCTTGAGGTAGTCGAATTTTGGCTACTAAGCTTTAAGATATTTGAATTTTGGCCACTAAAATTTGAGATGGTTGAGTTTTTAAATAGTGATTTTACGAAGAATGCGTGGTTAGAAGTTAAGGAAAAATTTTGAGTTTACATGTAAAATATTTTATTGTATATATATATGGTTAAATCCAAATTTATATTGAGCAATAGAAGACTTTTTCTAAGTTTAGTGGCCAAAGTTCAACTTCTCTCAATGTTCAGTGGTCAAAATTCGACAACCTTAAAGTTTAGTGAGCAATAGAAGACATTTTTCAAAGTTTAGTGGCCAAAATTTGATCATCTTAAAGTTTACCGTGTGACGGATCTTCACGTGTGCATTTTGTCAGCCACATCACCAATTTCGTTATAGGTTTGAGACGAAAGCTATGCTAAGTAACGTACAATATTTTTCAAAATTCAGTAATCAAAACTCAACATTTTAAACTTTAGTGGGCAATCAAAAACTTGAACCTAAGTTCAATGACCGTTGGAATAATTAACTCCTAAAAATATGTTTTTTCTATTTCTAATTTTTAGTCCAAGCCTAAATTAATCAAATTGACCTAAATTTTACCTAAATCTATTATTCCCTAGTGTCGTTTCTAATGGTCTAGAGAAATTGAATTGAAGCTCAATTGCACCTATCTTAATTATTGTGAGATTGTTATCTTCCTCTTTCTGGAATTTTAACAATCAAATTTATGAAGAACTTAACAAAGAGATGCGCAAAAGATACATAAGATTTGACTACTTTATTTTGTAAAAGCTAAGATCAAACATGTCATTATTTGAATTAATGTAGTTTTGTAAATATTAAAAAATTTAATTATGTTATGGAACTGGGAATGGAACTAAACTCGAACGGTTTCATAATTAAATTTGGATCCTACGGTTCTACTTACTAAATACATGAAAATTCGGGTCCAGTTCGACTCTCAAGGTTCAGTTCTCTTTAGAACTAAATCAAACCGAACAATGTCCAACCCTAGTTCTTGGTGGTATAGAACGTAATGTGGTGATTAACACTAGTTGATCTATTTCTCTTGCAGGTCCTTTTGGTCGCGGTCAAATGCAGAAACCTTTTGAAGATGCAACATTTGCTTTGAAAATTGGTGAAATTAGTGACATTGTGGATACTGACAGCGGTGTTCACATAATAATGAGAACAGCTTGATGCTGACTCATTATAGAATAATGAATTGAAGCATATCTTCTAACAGTCAAACTACAATAAGCCAAATTAAGAATTTTTGTACTTCTATGCTGTTCAAGATTTAGTTATCTGCCCATCATTTTCATGTTACTGGGTGCATCATCAGGTTCAGCCTTTTGAGCGAGTATTATAAGAAAGAAATTTCCCCTTATGGAGAAATAATCTATGGTCCGAATCTGGACTTGGAATTTTGTATCACAATGTCTTGATGCTCTTTTTTTTTTTTTTTTTTTTTTTTTTTTTTTTTAAGGGAAACTTTTTTTATTTTTTTTTTTGTTTGCCATCCCAACCCCACTTCTCCCTTGTTACTTCCTCCTATTGTGCCCACTGGGCATACCTGAGCAATACAAAGAAAAGATGTACAAACAATAAGAAATATAGTTCCAAAACCAAAGATTCAAAATGAATCAAAACATGTGGGTACAAAGTAAACATAATTTTTTATATATGTGTTTTATTTTGTCTTATAATGCTATTTACTTGTGGGCTAAGATTTACAAAAATCTTTCAATTACGCGTCATTCAAATATGATAAGTGGTGCTTATAAGCACAATTCTTTTAGCTATACTTTGTCAAGAAGCTCTTCAAGCCTTCTTTTGATCCATTTCAAAGCATTTAAAAATTGTAGTCATCAATCTCTTAATCTCCATCCAAACTTTAAACTTTAATTTTCATACTTATGCTAGATGTGAATGAACATTGAAAAATAGATACCGTCCATTTTTCAAATGTGAAACTTTCTTGATCCTGTATGTACTAGACAAAAAATAGATGCTGTCCATTTTTCAAATGTGAAACTTTCTTGATCCTATATGTGCTAGACAAAGTTAAACGTGCATTGCACGTTATTCTATAAACTTTATAAGTGATGTAAAATTAATATTTGGTACCAAATTGTTGGAGGATTTGATGAGTTTCAGACGAATTAAAGAAAATAAAATTTAGCATATTAATTGAAGAGAAGAAAATTGTATTCTCAAAATTCAATTTCTATGATTCAAATTTTCTGTAATGATGAAATACTCTAAATGAACAATATTTTATGTTACATTTGATACATAAAAATTACTTCTTAATACATAAATTTAAACACTCATTAAAATTTCTAGATGCATGAATATGAATAAATTCATATATAATAACTCTAAATTCATGTCATTCAAGATTCATCAAGTGAAAATTCATTGAATCTAGATTAATGTAAATATAATTAAGTGAGAATTAATAACACACAGGGGCGGACCCAAGGAGGGTCCCCTAGGGTCACTTGACCCTCAAGGTTTTTCCCCTTTTTTTTGTTTAAGTTTTCAGGTTCACTATGGAATATCAAATGAAGTTGAAATATTAAATTTTTAATATTATTTTGAAGTACTCACGACCTAATGTTTCTCGGCGTTAATGTTGTGCGAAATGGCCAATCATAGCAAATGTTACGACACGCCAAAATATGTTGTTCCAAACTAATATTTCGAGAATTTCGATAACAAGCTAACTTCAAAAATTCTTCGACGACTATAAGCTAGTCATATCCATAGATTTTCTATATTTTCTCGAAACTCATTTCGAGAATTATATCATAAATATATCGAATGATTTAAATGAATATCGAAAAAAATTAAACATACGTTAAACGTGTATGTTAAAAAACAGACGTATAACTCATTTTTTTTTAAAAAAAATCAATTATTTTATTACTGTTTATTATTTTTGCTTGAGAAATTTCTCAATATAATTTACATTATTTTATTAGGAAATTTTATGTGGTATGACGTCAAATTTTTTTTTTTGGACATAAAAATTTTTAATAAAATTTTTATTACTTCATAGGGTTTATAAATTGTTATACTACTTTTTCATCTTGATTATTTTTATATCTAAGAAAAATTATATATAAAAAAATTCAATCATTTTTAGGATTTTTTATTATTATTATTATTATTTTATTGTTACATTTTCCTCTCGATCAATTAACTTTTTTTCGAATGACGTCAAAAATTTTATTAAGAAATTTATTAGATAATTTTAAAAAAAAAAGTTAATTGATTGAGAGGAAAAAGTAACAATAATAAAAAAAATTCTAAAAACGATTGATATATATAGAAGTCTCCCTTGTACATTTTGTTGGTAGTATTCACAATGATCTAGTCTGTACGTGGCATACAAAAAGACCATTGATCAAAATCCCGAGAGACTAAAGAGTGAAAAAAATGTTCATTTCCACACTCGCGTAGGGCTATGGGGGAGGGACCCAGCTCTTTTTAATTTGAGCAACTTCAGCCGAAAGTTTCCTTGATAACACAAATTTCATAAATGACGATAATTATATAGCATTTACTACATATTGAAAAGTGAAAAGTAAGGTATTATTGAAATAATTGAATTGTATAGAATTAAAAACGTTCAGAAAATAATTCTCTATTAACGTGATATTTTAATAGATTATAGATTAATAGTCTTCCTTCTAGAAGTCTCCCTTGCACATTTTGTTGGTAGTATTCACAATGATCTAGTCTGTACGTGGCATACAAAAAGACCATTGATCAAAATCCCGAGAGACTAAAGAGTGAAAAAAAATGTTCATTTCCACACTCGCGTAGGGCTATGGGGGAGGGACCCAGCTCTTTTTAATTTGAGCAACTTCAGCCGAAAGTAGAGACTTGAATTTAAATCAAGCACGAAACATGGCAGCATCTTCCCCTTTAGACTTTATTTTGTGTTGCTCTTCCATCTCAAGACTTTACTTTAGAGCCAACAAAAATTCAAACTATGTACATTCCTGTTACATTTAATGATTTAACAACCATTTTTATAGAGGCAGGAAAATCAATAGATGTAAAAATATTAGGGTTTTATTAAATGTACACTCTTCTCACAAAGGGTAGGATTTTTTTATTGGACGTGGACCCTCCCTCTTGTGAGGAGAGTGTACATTAAAGTATACAAATAGCATTGTTCAAAATTTTAACAGTTGAGGTACCGGCAAATGCAAACAAAGTTATTGAGCTTGGAAGCAGATCTTGCTTAAAATATTACATTTGGATACCTTGAAACAAAGGCGTGATATTTTAACCCCCTAACCCCTTCGATCCGAGGAATGTTGGTAAATAGGGAGTATTTAACAATAAAAATAAATAAATAAATTAGTAAATGAAATTTTTTTAATTCCATCCCGCATTTCGAAAATCCCTGACGAGATGGGATGGTAATGATAGGCAGGGTTCGCCGCTCACTCCGTCTCGTTGCCATTCTATTTGACATAATTATGGACAATTAAAACATGAATTGAATCACTCAGTAATGGACAATGTATCAATACTTCATGCTGTAGTCTTAAGAGGACTAGGAAACATTGTGCAAGAAGTGTACGAGAGCTTCTGCTTGTTTGGCAAAGGTTTTTCAAAATTTATTTTTTCTCAAAATCATTTACAATTATGCTTTCTCACTTTTTAATCATTCATTTTTAAAGAATATTATTTTCTTTCGAAAAAATCTATGTCAAAAGACAAGCTCACTAGGGCAGGACTAAGGCTCCTGAATCGAAGAGTGAAGGAACAATGATGGTGGATTCCAAACAGAGTTAGGTTATCATGGTAGTCTAAGTTGTCTAACCATGTTATGTATTTGATTTAAAACCTCAGGTTAATGTCGATCTCGCGGTGAGACAATTTCCAACCTTAACGGATGCTATTTTACTAAAAGCATGTTTGAAAATTATTTATACTCGATTTAAATTACAAATAGTTATAAATGAGTGATAGATAAGTAGATAATATTAGTAGGCTCCACGAAAATATGTTGTTACGAAAAAATGAGAATTAGCAATATGAAAAAATAAGAACAAGAGCACTAGATCTAAGTAGAAATCCATTTAAAAAAAAAAAAAAAATCACGAGTTGGGGAGAAGAAATTTAGTATAATAAATAGGTGGATTACAAAGTGTGTAAGATGATTTTTCAAGAGGTTTACTCCTCATGGTACAAAGAAGAGCCTAACATAAGATGAAGTCATAATATAATAGGCCTAACAAATTATTGAGTGTTCGAGGTAGAAAATGAGTGTAAAAATTGCAAAAATCAAGATCAGGTTTCACTCGGATAACATCACCGCTCAAGTCGTGGCCTCACGTTTAGCGAATGGTAGCATGATCGTTCGAGTGCCCATGGCCCAGTCAGCAAGTGATCAAGTTGCTAAAAAGACACTCGAACGCCCATGGCACAATGGCAAGCGATCTTCACATGAACAAGAGTCATTATCCGTCTTCAACTTCTTCGAGACTTTTTCAAGGCAAACTAACAACTTTCAATAGACTTTGGGTCATAATTGAACTCTTAAGAAATTTCTATCTCGAGACGAATCCACTGCAAAGAACAAAACATCACTCTTAAAATCAATCCCCATCTTGAGACAAATTCCAATGTAGGGAATAAAACAATAACTCTTCAACCAACAAAAAAAAATAATAAATAAAAAAAAATTTCAAACAATATTCTCCACCTCTTCCACAAAAGTCGTCAAGGGCAAGGTCAACATCAAATATAATCAAATCCAAGCAATAATCAAACTTGGATATAGGGAGTGACTTGGTCATCATATCAACAATATTGCCTTATGTACCAACTTTGCTCCTAACAATATCACGATGAGCAATAAAATCATAATTAACTCCCTCTAAATAAATAGAAAGTTTTTCACTAGACTTAATACATTCAGTCAGTCTCAAAGCATAAATAACCAAATTACCCTCACCATACCTCTGTAGAGGTCTAATATCTCCTCTAAATCTGTCTTTAGCAATAGAATACTATGGTACCACTGGTGGAGGTATCAAAGTAGTACTACCCTTAACTTCTGAATCAGAATGATATGTAGACTCTCGTATATGCCCAGAACCTAACTCAAGCTCCACATGTATGTTTAATTTCTACTGATGTGTATTGATATATTTTGTAGATTCCTGCAAGACATGTAACTGGGTAGACCTTCTCTGTCCCTTCATCACAATACTTGCACCTTTACTAACTTTCAAGACTCTATCTTCATCAGTGGACTTATGCCCTTTTGAATCAAGAGTACTAAAAAATATAAGATTTCTTTTCAAATTTGGAATATGTCTCACATCACCAGTTGTCCTGATAATCTCCATCAAAAATTTTAATTATGACCCTTCCAATACCAACTATATTACAAGACATAACACTTC